GGGGGGGGCTATCGGGATCTCAGCCCCGACGCTCTCTGTTGCTCACCTGCTCTCCGCGCTTCTCTTGCAGCCCATCCTGCGCCCAGAGACCCGGCTGCGCACCATGACCAAGCTGGCGCAGTGGCTGTGCGGACTGGCCCTGCTGGGCACTGCCTGGGCCACCCTGGCCTTAGACCCCCTGGGCCTCCACCTCCCTCTGCCCTGCCAGCAGGTGCTCTGGCCTTTCCCCGTGTACCTGCTGGTGGCTTTTGGCTGCTACTCCCTGGCGACCATTGGCTACCGTCTGGCTACGTTCAATGACTGTGAGGCTGCGGCGAAGGAACTTCAGGAGCAGATCAGAGAGGCCCGAGCGGACCTGAGCCAGCGAGGGCTGAAGTTCTGACCCGCGGGGTGGGGAGGCTGCACCCCAGGGAGCTGGGCCGCTCCCCTCGCTTGGCTTAGCACAATAAAGAATCAGTGTGTGTAGCTGAGCCTGGTAGCCTGGGGAAGGGCCATGGCAGGGTGGGCTCTGGGTGGGTGCCTGCTGCGGCAGGAGAACAGGGCAGGTGGCACGTGGCGCTGGGTGCACGAGAGGGTGATGGTAACTAGAGGCAGTCAGTGCAGCAGCTTGCTGCTTGGGGACTCCCTTCACTCCTGCAGCCAGGCCCCCCGGTGCGGTTCCTAGCTGCTCTCACGAGCAGACAGGGCCAGGGTTTGGATGAGAGTCCCAGGAATCACCCACGTGCTGCTGCGGGTGACTCACTGACGGGTGCTCTTCTCTCTGAGTCAGCGGCAGGGAGCCCTGTGCTGCTCTGTGTCAGATGCAGGGTGCAAGCGAGGACCTGAGCACTGTCCTAGGGAGGTGGGTAATCCTGTACTGTCTCCTTCAGTCCCCTGAGGGTGGCACTGCTCGGGCTAGCCACCCCCAGGCGACTGTCTGAGCCCAAGCTGCCTACACCCCGCACACCGACTCCCCTGGTTACTCGGAGCGGGAAGCTGCAGAGACTCCTCTACCTTCCCCTCTCTCCAGAGCCCCTCCATGGCTCTCAGCAGTCAGTGGGCATTAAATCAGGGCTGTGGGGGGCTGTCAATCAGATTGAATGCCAAGGCTGCAGCCCCCCCAGCTCAGGCTCCAGCATGCTGTCTGGGCGCTGGGTGACGCTGCTGGCCCGGGGACGTGGGAGGAGTTGTCGTTTCCAGGGCGAGAACCTTGCTTCCATGGCCCAGTGACTTTCGATGATCAAGTTCAGCAGGGTTTTGTACAGCCCCCTGCCCTCCAGAAGGCGAATGGGGAGGCTGCTTCCTTCAGGGAATCCCTTGCTCCTGAGCAGCCCAACAGCCTCATCCATGGGCAGTCTCCCTGGCTGGCACAGGCCCTGCTGCAGGGCCCATGAGGCTCCCCGCAGCCAGAAGGGTGGGGCTGCCTCCCTGGCAGACTCCCTGGGTTCCTTGCATACCAGCCAAAGGACTTTCTTGTTCTTAATTGTTGGCTGCACATCCTTCTGCGAAAGGAGCAGTTGATATCAAAGGCAGGAATGGGGCTAATTAGCAGGAGCGACTAATTAGCTGCTTCCTGAGCAACAGTGGCAGCAAGGAAGGCGGGACAGCCAATTCGTTGCAGTCTTGCCTGTGTGTGGCTAGTCGTGGCCTGGCAGTGCCTAGCCACGGCCTTCAGCAGCTGGCTCAGCTGAGGCACACTCCCCGGGTCCCAGTGTGACCCTGGCTGGGGCCCTGCAGGGTGGCTACGGAGGGAGGGGGCTTGATGGAGCCCAATAGGGACTCCCAGCAGCAGACTCTGTCGAGCCCCAGCCCAGGGCAGAGAGGAGCTGCCCTCGCCAGGATGATCCTGCACATCTTGCATGTTGCCAGGTAACAGGAGGTCAGATCTGCCAGCAGCCACCCCATCCTCTCGGCCAGGATCAGAACAGCCCCGTCAGCGCAGGCCTGAGGGGAGGGGGAGCTGCTCTTTGGAGCAGGTTGATCCAAACATGGCTGTCCCTTCGGCCCCCAGTAGCAGCAGGCTGTTGCCCAGGTGCCCGTGTGTTTGGACACAATGTCCCATGTGACCCTCCAGGGCTTCCCGGGACAGGGCACCCATTGACTTGAGGGGTGGGGGGGACTTGCAGGGTCAGGCCATAGGGTAGCCCTCCTCTCCCTCTTTCTCCTCTGCCTCAAACGGAGCTGGGAGGGGCCCCCAGTTCCCAGTAACAGCACCAGAGCTGGGGGGTTGAGTGCACCTGGGCTGTTGGTTGTATCCTCACCTGTACCCACCAAGTTTTGGGGGGTGCAGGCCCTCCACAGCCCCGTCCTGCTCTCCGTGCCTGGGAGTGCCCAGAGCTGAGGAAACAGGCACCACACTCTGGCTTTGATTTATTAAAAGGCACTTATGCTCATACAAAACAGCAATACAAAACAAGGCACCCAACAGAGAAGAGGGCAGCCCCCCAGCACCGCACTTGGCTCCCACCACAGCCCCCCTGGAATGGTTGAGCACAGCAGGGAGGAAGAGAGTCCCCACCCCAGAGCTGGCCAGAGGCATGGGGGAGGCTGGGGCACTGCTGCAGTGTCAAAGGCACTATTCCCAATCAAGCAAACTAATGAAAAAGGAGAAGGGCGGGAGGAGGGGGGGGGGGGGGGGGGGGGGGCATCCCTTGCGGCAAGGGGCAGCTGGGAAGGCAGCCGTGACCCCTCAGAGCCCCAGGCAGGGGGCAGTACCCGTGTAGGCTCTTTGGCTAAGGCAGGCCTAAGGGGTGGCTGGCAGGGGCAAGGGCGGTAGAATCACAGTGTGAGCATTGGCTCCTCCCTTCATTGGTCAGTGAACATACGGGGTCGGGGCAGAATCATTTGGCCCTTGAGCCAAGGAGCTGGGTCTGCACCTGCCGCCGGCTCCCCACCTCCAGGGCTCAGTGAGGCTCCTTCCTGCCCCAGGACGGCGGAGACGGCAGGTTCCAGGTCTCAGGCCTGCAGGGGCTTGTAGAGCTTGTCCTGGTCCGGAGGGAACTGCCAGAATAACCAGAACCGCAGGATGCTGGTGACTATCCCGGGGATGTTAGGGACCTGAGTGGGAAGGGAATGGGGGGGGAGGGGGGCACAGAGAGAGGAGCGCTATAAATCTTGCAGCAGTTTTACTGTCCCCCATGCCCCCTCCTCCCCCCAAGCTGCTCCATCAGCCACGTGTCACGGGGAAGCTGTATCGGCTGCCTGCCAGTATCCGTCGCCCTGAGCGTGGGTCACGAGGCAGCGCAGGGGGCTCCACGGGACGGCTCGCGAACAGCGCCCAGTGCTCGCTGGGGGTCTGGGCCCGCCCCCCAGGATTCCCAGGGCAGCCCTCCCGCCCCACCGCACTCACCATGATGTAGAGGTCGCTGAGCTGGAAGCCGTACAGCGTCCAGCTGGCTGAGGCCAGGAAGGTGGCCACAGTCAGCGGGAAGGACAGGCACCGGGTCGACCTGGTCCGGACGATCTTGGCCTGCAGGGGACACAGAAGGGCCTAAGCTCAGGCACTGGGGAGCTTCCTGCAGACCCCAGCCAGGGCCCCTCCCGGAGTAACAGCTGTCTCCTGCAAGGCCGTGGGGTCAAGGACGAACCAGAGCTGAGCGACCCACCAGGATCTCCTCTGGGCTCCCCCACCCCAAAGGCCCCAGCATGTGCTACTCTGCCCCGAACCAGCAGAACGCCCCCCCAGTGAGGCAGCCCATGCCCCAGGCCAGCGCCCCAGCTAGGCAGGCTCCCCCCGAGGGAGCCGCACGCACCAGGTCAGCCAGGGGTGAGAGGTACATGCTGATGGTGAAGACGCTGCAGAAGAGCCCCAGGCGGGCCAGGCGCACGGCCACGTCGGGGATCAGGAGGTTGAAGTAACAGTAGCCGAGGATCAGCACCCCCAGCAGGGCCACGCTCTGCAGCAGAACCCGGCGCTGGGGGAGGGAAGAGGGCAGTCAGGGCCAATCACACGAAGACACAGGAAACCCCCTCCCAAGAAATGCCACTGCCGGACCCCGCCCCCCGCCCCCCCCCCCCCCCATGCCAACTCCTCCCTTTCACAGGCATCCCTCCGAGCCCGCCCGTTCCCCCGGCACCTCCCACCCATGCCAGCCCCCGGGAGCCTGGCAGGCGGGAGGGACTTGCTCTCCACCCACCTTCTCGGGGCTGAAGTAGAAGTACACCAGGATGTAAAGGGTCTGCAGCGCCGCCCCGATGGTGTTCACGGTGATCAGCGTCCAGTCCTGCTTCAGGCACCCGTAGCTCAGCCAGCTCAAGTTGCTGCAAGGGGAGACCAGGCTGGGTGGTCACCGGCGCGGCTGCCTGTGGGGTGGGGAGCCCCTCGAGCACATCCCTGCACGTGAACCTCCCAGAGCATGTGCTCCCCCCACTGTACAAGCCGCTGGAAAAAGTGCCCTGCCCAGCTGTTGTCCAAGCCCCCCTCCACTTGAGCCCCAACTCCATCAACCACATGACCCTCCGGCCTGCGCCCCCTCTGTCCCCTCAAGTCAGCGTTGGCTGGACATACTTTACATCGGTGGTAAGGAAGGGCAGGAACTGGATATTCTCCACGCTCTGTGTCTGAAACATCTGGCGCAGGTCAGTCCTAGGGATAAGACACGTGTGAAATGCCTCCCATCCCCCCAAGTCTGAGGGGACCCAACCCCCCATCCTGGCCCAACCCCCCGAGTCTGAGAGGGCATAGCCGCAGTGGCTGTGACCAGGGTGCCACCCAGAAGCAGTGCTGCCGTTTGGCGTTTTTCAGCCTTGATGTCAGATGGTTACAGGACTGGTGGGGCCCGCTCTGGACCCACCGTTGCCCTGGGGCAGCGCCCAGCTGCGTTAGGATTTTATACCACTCTAGTGACTGGTGCAGCCCTAGGGACGGGCCAGTCCCCCTGGAGTGATGGGGCCTCCTGCCCAGCCAGCTCACCCCTCCCTGACGGGATACCTCCAGCGCTGGCAGTGCCTCCACCTGCTAGCGCTGCGTCCGCACTCGGGGCCGCGTGAACCAGCTGCAGTGGGATGGATAAATCGGGATAACTTCCTAGCGCCGGCAAGGCGCAAATTCCCAGCCCTCACGGCTGCAGAGAAATGCTGGCAAACAGAACCCGCCTCCCCCCAGCCCCGGGCAACAAAGAAATGGTCCCGAAGTCGCTCTTTTAAAAAACCTCGTGATCGATGACAGCTCGGTGTTGGTCAAACTGCAGAGGCCCAGGCATGCCAGGTGCTGCCCATGTGAGTCACGGCTACCTCACCGGGCTGGGGGCAGGGTAACCACTGGGAAAGGAGGGAGCCCCCAGGGGTAAGTTTCTGTGTCCATAGGGCTGAGAAGGGCCGACACCTGTGCTGCCAACCCACAGCGATGCCCAGCCCCCCCCAGGCCCTAGTAATCCACAGCCTCTTGTAACCCATAGCTCTTCCCAGCCCACCCCCCAGTCCCTAGTAACCCATAGCAGCCCAGCCCAGCCCCCCCAGTCCCTAGTAACCCATAGC